GATTGCCACATGCTTGTACTCTCCTTTTGCTTGCTTTACTGAAACAAATAACCAGGTTCATATCCCCACTCAGCCATGGAGCTCTCTAGGCAATCCTGGACCAGCCAATGTTTTTACCTAACTTCTACCTCATAGGCCGATTGCGAGGATAAAAATGGGGAAGAGGGAAGCCCATGTGTACCTCCTGGCAATGCTTAGGAAAATGATGGGATAATAATACAAGAAAGAAGCAAGTGTCGCAGTCTGCCTGAAAACAGCTTGTGGTTCTCCAGCGATGCTTTCTGCATGACTCTTCCTTTCTTCTACTATTGTTCTTTGCCACGAAGTGCATTCTTACATATACATTAATAACACAGTTGGAAAATCTTACAATGCACAGACCACTGTTTTAAGACCTTTGAGAGTAGACCAGATCCGATTTTGGCATGTCTTCCCCCTTTACCCAAAGTGGCTTACAGCAATAGACTTCTGTGAATTTCAGATGTAAGATTCACTGCTTAAATAACAACGGTAGAAAGGGTTAGAAGAGAGGAATAGATAGAAGAACCCTACGGGCATATTCTGGAATCTCCAAGCAATGTTGGAACTTCTATACACAATTACAGCTGTTCTCTTTGTTAAAGCAGCAGACTGAACGGGATAGGAGCTGCATGCTTTTACTTGTAATCCTGTTTAACTGGATGGCGCTGGTCTGCTAAGGGGTGTCAGCAGCCACAATTGTTCCTTCCACCAAGGGTTGGGCATTTATACTTTGGTACTTGAGACAAATGTTCCCTGATAAGGCCAGATTGCCTCTGCCAAGTACTAGTGTAGAGCAGTGTTTCACAATGTGCTCCCCCAGATGTTGTTGGACTCCACCTCCTATCGCCCCCTGATCATTGGCCATTCTGGTTGGGCCTGATGGGTGCTGATGAGTCCAGCAACATTTGGAAGGGTAGTTTCAAGTATTTGAGCAGGGCTTCCGCATATTTTGGTGGGAAGGAGGCGTTTCTTTTTATAGGCCCCTACTGAGTCTCATAAGCCGCAGTCTCATGTCCAAAAATGTAGGGAAAGATTTCCCTTGCATGCTAATCAGTAGAGTATCGGCTCAGCATTTGCTGCAGGTCTCAGGTTCTAGGTAGGGACTGGGAACAACCCTGAGAACCACTACCACTCAACATGGGCAATGCTGACCTAGATGAACCAATGGTCTGATTGAGTATAAGGCAACTTCCTATGTTCCTATTGGTTTAGAATAATAATTTCTAGGCCATCCATTTTCTGGTTCAGAATTTTGCACACAGATTCAGCCCCAGAAAGTTACTACAATGAGATGTCACAAAGCAGACCTGATCAATTAAAGAGATATTCATGCAAAATCCCCCTTTTTTTAGGAGGGGATGAGGAAATATCTTTCTTCATCTTGCTGCAACAAACGGGGCTATGACATGTAGTGGCACCTTACAACATTTCACACCTGTTGTCAATATGGATGGCACAGGCGAGGCAGGTCCACGGTATAGTGTAGGCGCCTCAAATCATCACTTGCGGAAGAAATCTAGTATAGACATGCCATAGGTCTACTGCTTTATTTTTTAAAAAATAGTGGCACTGACACAACATTTTAAATGGTATTCTATTAATTATGTCTTGCCTATTAAAAAAACAAAACACTTCTACTGCGACTCATTAGAATACATTGCCTGGTTCAAACATTTACATGAATACATAGGAAATACTGCAATTTGCAAATACCTCATAAACACCCAATTCCCTGTTTTCAGCGTCTTCACAAGTTCGAATAATGTAGTTGCCATTCTACTGATGGCTCCCAGCATGAGTTCACAATGGTAAAGTAATAGAGTGATTTTTAGCTCTGCCTTTGAGTCAGTTTCACAACTATGAACTGGGATTCCAAACAGTATATTTTTAAAAAAAAAGAATACTCCTATCATTTGAAATGTTGATCTTCCTGGGATTGTGAGGTAGCTCCACCTTCCCCCAAAGCTGTAGGGAGAATTGTTCATTCCAGAGGCAAGAGTGAGGCCTGCTGCCTGTATACAGGGGAAAAACATTGTCCTCCAAGCTTCTTGATTTGTACCAGCTTTGGAAGCTGTATAGAATGATTCTGTATAGTTTTGTTATGAATGGAATTGCTTTAGAGAAGTAAAATTGTGCTTCTGACTTGTTTTATTTTAGCTTCCCTTTATTGTGAACAACTAAGGCCTTGAAGTGTTCCCCTTATGCCATCCATTTCCTAAGCTATAAAATTAGTCCAGGGGAGGGGGAAGCAAAGATCTGACATAGCAATTGCATTGTATCTCATCTTAAGAGAGAATTACATGGGTGATTTCATTTCCCTCAGCTGCTAGGAATTCAATCGGCTCACAAAGAGAAACTTCAGCCCAAGTGATTGTCGAGCATCATAGATAAACAGAGGCGTATAACAAAGACTTCACATAGTTTGGTACTGCTTGATAGACAACTTTACCCATAAGTGAGATCTGGCAGGTGGGGAGAGGCGATGGTTTGGCAGAGCTCCGCTAGTGGCTAAGTGCATCATTTTGCAAAGCTTGGAAGGCTTAGACCAGTACTGAGCTTTGGATATGAGACCTACTGGTCCTAAGCATACATATGGAGTGTGTTTTATGTTTCCAGGAAGAGGTTACATTCTGCAGTATATAGTAGGCGTTTCTGGATTTGTGTACAGAATAAAATATAAAGGAATCAAAGTAATTAATGTTGCGTTGATGAGTTCAGTGCAGAGTTGGGAACCTTTTTGTAAATTACTATTTTCCATTTTAGTGGTCCTTCATTAAGACTCCTCATGTATGTCTCAATCGATGTCAATCTACAAACCAGGTTCACTGTGTGAATTGACATTAAAGAAATGGAGGGAGGGTTGCTGTTTGTTATATTCTGAAAAACTTGAGAAACTTAATAGCAAAACGGAAGTATCATTTGCCTTATTAGCTAACAAAAATGGATGGGACTCGGGACTCAATGTTCTAACGTAGAGTAAACCCTGTGGTACTCAAAAAAGAAATGAAAGATGAGTACCAAAGTTGCTGCCAGAAGTGGGGTCTCTGACCCTTTCAGGACCACCACCAGAACCTTAGGATTCAGTGCTACCATCTTGGTTTTCACTGAGAAGAAGCCCTGACTAGCTCAGAGATGGGAAGTTGTCTCCTTTCATGAACAAAAGAGGGCTGGTAAGGCCCATTGGCAGTGCTGCAGAGGATTCTTAAATCATGCCCCCCTTGTTCACCATGCCTCCAGTTTTATCTTGACAGGCTTAGGGAGTCAGTCCTCCCAGGCCAAAGGTCCTTCAAAAGCTGGAGTCAGCCTTCAAGTGAATCTCCCCTCTCCCCATTTACTTTCCTTTTCTAGAGGTCATGCATGTAGCACTTTTTTATGCTAACTTTTTAGAGGAGAGGAGAGTTTACACTGCGACTACAGAGTACATAGAAAAAAGAAGTCCATATTTGCAGGGGACTGTCAAATTTCCTTCTTTTCGTTGTTGGGATGTGCTTCTTGTAAGTAATCATCTGCAAAATGACTGTCTTGTTTTTGACTCAAGGTCACATTTTTGCAAACAACTTCCCCTGTGATAGTCTGCTGGGGAATATTCGCTTCAAATCAGCATCGTTTAGAATAAGTAGAAGATCTCTCTGTTGATGGCAATGAGGTTCAGAAAGGTTTCTGGAACAACACAAAATGGTCTGGTGCCCTGGTTATACTGTGAAATCTGTCTATATTGACTGTACAATTTACTATGACGGCTTATAACAGGTTACTGTTAAGCGTAGCTAATAACTGACAATGTTATTCAGCACCATATATACTTTGGCCTGAAGTGTTTTCCATTGAAATCTTCCAGTGCTATTTGTAAAGCAAGAGTCTAGGTAATTATGAGCCACTTTCAAGAGCTGTATGACTGGTATTGACAAAGGGAATTTTCCTTCCAGTCTATTCAAGAATACGAGCAATCTGTCCATCATACTCCTTATAACGCTGAGCAGTTTGGTTACTCCAGTGGCCTAGGCTTGAAGGATAGAACTAAGATGATAAGAAGAGCCTTCTAGATCAGGCTAATGGCCCATATAGCCCAGCATCCTGCTCTCATAATAGTCAACCAGATGCCTATGGGAAGCCCACAAGCAGCACATGAATGCCACAGTACTCTGCCCTCCTGCAACTCTCATCAACAGGTATTCAGAGGCATTTCTCTTTGTAGCTCAAGAGCAGTCTTGTACCAGCTTGGTACCCTCCAAGTTTTGGACTTTCCTGGTCATTTGCCAGGTGGTTGTGAATGATGAACACGAGTCCAGAACATCTGGAAGGTACTCGGTTGGGAAAGGCTGGTCTTGACCAGGGCCCTAATATTCTCCAAGTGACCTAGGAAAAAATATGGAGCAACTTGACTCTGGGGACATGCTGGCAAAATGGTATCTCTCCATTTGGACTCATCATATAAATAAATCACCATCCTACACTTCCCATGGCCTTATCATTTGCTGTTTTCTTCGTGAATTCTCATTGCAAGGGAGTTATGGGCAACTTACAACCGCCAGGAGCAGCTCCTCAATGCCTTCCACATGTGCTGTATCAGGAAGATTTTGGGCATCACATGGCACAACAGGCTCTCAAACAAAGATGTGCTCTTCCAAGCCCACATTCCCAGCAGGTTTGCACTTCTGTCTTTCATGACATCTATGCCGGCTTAGCCATGTCCGCAGAATGGAAGGTGGCTCTAGGCACCAGGCCTGTTGGCAGACAAATGTCTGCAAATGTGACATAAAGGCTGGCAACATTTAACCCGCCATGTGGGAATCCCTTGCAGATGACTGCAGTGCCTGGAGACAGTTGGGATGTGTATCCATAGCACTGATCAGAGGAGGAATGACTGCTGGGAGGAGAGCAGAGAAAAGAAATTCCATGTTGCACCTGTAGCAGCACAGCCGGACACCTTCACCTGCCCCAGCTGCAACAAAACATGTCTCTCCCACATTGGTCTCTACAGCCACGGCAGCCGCTGTAACCTTCTAACAGTTTGACTTCACCCACAAAGGTGCACTCCTCCATTGTCTCCTGAAACAGATGGATGCCAACCAAGGAATAATACTGGACTCATCTGGGATGTGTTTTCTTTGCCTCATCTTGTTTCGCTCTGCAGAGCGGCATATAAGATATAACTCACTATTCTGTTAAAAACCAGGTGTGTGGTTCTATTTCTCTTCTCAGATATTATCACAGGAACATTTTCTCAATTCATTTCAGGAAGCTTCTCACAGAGATTATGCTTGCAAACAGCTGGTAGACACATTACAAATATATGTATGTTTGGAGTCATTGCAAGTATCAGTGTGTGCCACCAGGTTTTTAAATCGTGAGGAGATTCTATCCCATCTTTTCAATCCATAGCACCACGGATTCCTTGGTATTCTTCAGAGTTTTAATACTGATCCTCCCTCTTAACAGCTGAAGTATTGTATACATTGAGGAAAAGTTTGAGGGAATGCAGTTTGTTATAAACAACAACAACAACCAACAGCTTCACCGTTCCTTTTCAAGTGTAGACAAGATAAAGGAATATATGTGGATTCTTCATTGTCACCCTAGTAATCTGATAGGGAATCAGTCTTGTATCCATATCATGAGGGCAACATCACGGGCCTCTTCACAGACACATTCTCAACTGTGCCAAAGTTTCCTTGCATCTCTAAACTGGTGCTGGACTTTGGGGGTAAAGGATAATCTCTGTTCTCTTGCTTTTTCCTTGGAAAAACTTGTTCAACGAATAGGCATGGGGAACAGGGTTTCTCTCTCTCTTTTTAGGAAACAAGAGGCCCAGTGGGAAAGAGGAAGGCATGTGTTCATAGGGAGCGAGCACAGAGGCAACATACGGTAACTGACAGAGAACACAGAGGCATTCACAAGGATGATGTTGTGGAGTCCACCACTTCACGGCCATTGCACACTGTTGGCACAAATTGAGAAGATGACCCTGTGGGGCAGAGAACAGACGGAGGTTTCAATGAACAGCAGTTTTAAACAATCCTGCACTTACCCAAACACTACCCTCTGCAAACCACCACTCCATCTCGCCTGGTGGTGCTGAGTTCCCATGCATCATAGCTGAGCTGCCCATCATCTCCTCTTTTCAGCCATCTCAAATTCTAGCACATCAGCTCTAACACAATCATCAACACATTTCATTGATATAAACACTGAGTTGATTTGTTTAGAGCTTTTATTTATATACCATGCAATATGCACAGCTCTGTCTTCATTCTTACAAGATAGGTAAAGGACCCCTGGATGGTTAAGCCCAGTCAAAGGTGGCTAAGGGGTGTGGCGCTCATCTCGCTTTTCAGGCCGAGGGAGCCGACGTTTGTCCGCAGACAGCTTTCTGGGTCATGTGGCCAGCATAACTAAACAGCTTCTGGTGCAATGGAACACCGTGACGTAAGCCAGAGTACACACACTGCCTGTGGGCTTCCCAGGGCACTGATTGGTCACTGTTGGAGAAAGGAAGCCATCCAATGGTCAGGGATAATGGGAGTTTCCCTCAGATAAGCACTGCTTATATGAAAATCCTGATCACATGTTGTCTCTGTCCGAATGGACACAAGTAGCAAGGGAATGCAAGATGCTGTTTGTCACCACATTTTCTTCTAACATGCTGCCACTGAGAACTAGCAGATCTAGCAATAACACACCCTTTTGTTAGGACTTGGACACAGCTAAGAAAAATTATTATTAGGAATGTTTTATTCTTCCCAGAGTAGGAAGGGCCACTCTATGGCCTGTTTTGGATTATCATTCTAGGCTTCTGGAAACCATTGCCTTAGGAAGCCAACAATGGGTGCCAGGATCAAGTCCTCTTCCCCTCCTCTCACATGCCAACCTTAGTGTGGAGGTTTTGGCTTGTTTTAAGCTGGAGCTCCTCATCACATCTGAACCAGGAAAACAAGCCAAAGCCAAACTGGTTTTCTGCTTTTGAAACCGAGTTGTAATGGCTGAACTGTAAGCCCCATGACATTTCTACCCAAGTGTACCTTTACAGGGGAACAGGGAATAAATGGTCTGTGTCATTAATAGAAATGTCTTCTTGGCTTATCTATACTGTTTGTTTACTGCAAAGTATAACATTCACAATACTGATTAGCAAAACCAAGCTGTCTTTGTAGCCATGCACTTGACCATTAACACACATAATTTTATACCTGTGCCAAAGTACCCTTAGATTTGTATGTTTCACTCCCTCAAATTATTTTGTTTGTCACCTGGTGTTTCCAGATTAGGGTGGGAGGAGCTTAATTTGTGAATGGATAGTTGGCAATAGGTTTGTTCATTTGCTTATCAGATTTTCCCTGGAAAGGGTAAAGATAAAGGTAAAGGGACCGCTGAGCATTAGGTCCAGTCATGGCCAACTCTGGGGTTGCGGTGCTCATCTCACTTGGCCAAGGGAGCCGGCGTACAGCTTCTGGGTCATGTGGCCAGCATGACTAAGCTGCTTCTGGCGAACCAGAGCAGTGCACGGAAATGCTGTTTACCTTCCCGCCGGAGCGGTACTTATTTATCTACTTGCACTTTGACATGCTTTTGAACTGCTAGGTTGGCAGGGGCAGGGACCGGGCAACGGGAGCTCACCCCGTCATGGGGATTCGAACCACCGACCTTCTGATTGGCAAGTCCTAGGCTCTGTGGTTTAACCCACAGTGTCACCCGCGTCCCTCTGGAAAGGGTAGATCCAGATTAAATGGTGGGGGAGGGGGCATGTGGGCAATTCAACAAACTTATATGCATAGGAGGAGCTCCAATCCTAAAATAAAGACCCATCTCGAAGCACCCACCTTCATGGATGAATTACTGTGTTAGAATCTCATGGGAAATGGTGTATTTGCATAGGAACAGTGGATCAGCTGCAGAACATGGTAGACTTGGAACAGACAAGGTGAAGTATTTCATCACAAAACACAACTGGGGGTGTTATTCATTTTTATTCTTATGCTATGTATTTTATGTTTTTATGTTGTAAACTACCCTGTGATATTTGGATGAAAGGCAGTATATAAATTTAATAAATAAAAAATAGCTTATAAAATTTATCACCACTTTGTGGCGATGGGAAGTAGCTTAGATGTTGTAAATAAGGATTAAACAAATTCATGAATTCATCAATCGCTATTAGGCCCCAATGAGCCATTCAGAATGCATAGAACAGGACCTAGCCAGTGAATCCTATGTTACACACCATGCGAGTGGCTGGAGCTTGCAGCGGTCACACTAAAACGGTTGGTGGAAACACGATGGCTGGCGACATTCTTCTGGGGCTGGAAGAGGATGATATGTAACTTGGGAGTAAAGAGGCAACCAAGGACCACTGTGCCACTGAGGCTAACAGAGATACACATGGTGGTGGTCTGGACCTGTGCAGAGAAAAAGAAAGAAAGAAAAACAGTGCATCAATCTGTAAGGTAAAGAAAGAAAGAAAGTGTGGTGTTTACATGTGTCCCTACTTATGTACCCCCGCATATAGGAACTACCCAAGTAAACACTTCCAACTGGCAGAGAAATAAGCAAGTACCATTTGATTCTAGACTAGAAGAAGCATGATCTTCACTCAATAAATCTTCCCAAATTGTATAAACCTATGCAATGCACTCTGAGTTCTTCGTTCTCTCCTACCAACCACCATTCTCTTGTTTTCCTAAGGGTATGTCCATTTCTGAAGGTTTCTTTCAAGGTTTGGCTTCTTTGGCATGTTGGCAAAAGTCATACATTATGAACCCAACGTATTCACAGTGCTGGTCGCTTAACTTTAAAAAGGACATGGGGGAAATTAAAAGGGCAACCCAATCACATTCTTGAAAATAAAACAAATGAAAACAAATGAAAAAAGTTGTTTCTGCCTAGGGCTGGACATGTATTGGGTCCCTTGTCAGCAGTCCTGTGCAGCACCTTTAAGACTAACCAATTTAAGCTGCTATCTATAGGTGCTTACCAGGTGATGGAGCAAACCCCATGAAATTCAGTCAGGCTTACTTCTAAGCAGACCTGTGTTAGAAAACCACGCTTGTCCATATAAAGTTAAAGGTAAAGGTACCCCTGACCATTAGGTCTAGTCGCGGACGACTCTGGGGTTGCGTGCTCATATCGCTCTATAGTCTGAGGGAGCTGGCATTTGTCCACAGACAGTTTTTCTGGGTCATGTGGCCTGCATGACTAAGCCGCTTCTGGCAAACCAGAGCAGTGCACGAAAACGCCGTTTACCTTCTCGCCGGAGTGGTACCTATTTATCTACTTGCACTTTGATGTGCTTTCAAACTGCTAGGTTGGCAGGAGCTGGGACCGAACAACGGAAGCTCACCCAGTTGCGGGGATTCGAACTGCCAACCTTCCGATCGGCAAGCCCTATGTTCTGTGGTTTAGACCACAGCGCCACCTGCGTCTCCCATATAAGGTTATGTCACACTAAACAAGTTAGTTAGTTGTCAGTGTAGCCTGAAGGAATAGGGGTGCAGCCCATGAAATCCTGAAACATATCCTTCAGGAATGCAATCCCATAGATCCCTACTCAGAATTAAGCCTCATTGAATTAAGTGGAAGTCATGTATTAGTATATATCTGATGGTTTCAGCTATAGGTTTATGTCCCTGCATATGTTTTAAGTCTTGCTCTCTCATTTCTTATTGTTGTTCTCTCCACTTATCTGTCTGTATCTTACCACAAATATCTGGACAACCAGATTTATCATTTCTTCCTGTGAATGTAGGATTCAAATGCCACCCTTGGTTTGGCTCAATTTAGTTTTTATGTTTGTGTCATGAAGTTCTATTTTGTTATTTGGGTTACATGGATCTTTTTTATTTTATTATTTAAATCAACTTTAAAATGTATTACCATATCTCCCTTGTTGTAATCTAGTTCTACATACACTAACTCATTGGCTTCCATAAGGTGCGGAAGAAGTTGAAATTGCCTGCCTTTGAATTGCTAAGAAACAAGCATGATATCTTCCGATAAAATTAATATACTTCTGCAGTTTTTGCACTCAGTACATTCCCCATACTGATGGAAGACAACTCCCATGGCATATAAATGGATTTAATATAACAAATGAGAAATATGAATTGAAAGTTATTATCACAAAGACTCAGGAACTGTCAAGAGATTTGGGCTGATTTCATGAACATATACATATATATTTCTTAAAGAAAACGAATCCTTCAACAGATTAAGGAATTACCAAGATGAGTGTGTAGAAAGAGAAAGCAAGTCTCAATGACAAAAAGCTAATAATGTCAACTACCAGTTGGTTCCTTTCCTGAGACACATCAACACACTCTCTAAAGTCACAAGAGCATGTGATTTTCCAATCACAGGATGACATCTATTATTATTCCCTGATGCTTCCAACAAAGCAACTGTCCTATAATTATTGTGGTTCCTTGGATAGTGGCCTTTCACAACTTGTGGAGGGCATCAGGTTGGGGGTGACTATTGGAGAGTTTTCATAATCATAAATGCAGTTATCATACTAACATAGCAATAGGTTGCTGATGTCATGTCATGGGCCTGAATATATATATTTTTAGAAAAACACTTATTGAAAATTCCCTAGGGCTTCTAGCCTCGAATGATTTGCACAGCAGATAATTAAATCAACAGAATCCCTGCCTTGACCTCCAACTCCACTGAGGACTACTCAACGGCTGAGTTCGCATCAAGCATCTATAGATATAGATAATCAGTATCTTATCTTTAACATATGCACCTGAGGAATTGTTCTATGTAACTCAACATTCTCATCTATAGTAGCTGATGCAGCTGGAAGAGGGGCCACAGCGTCTGGTTTACATGCTGAAGGACTCAGGTTCAATCCCTGATGGCTCCAGGTAGTGCTAGGATTGTTCCATGTGAAATACCAGAGAGCTGCTGAGTGGAGTTCTGCTCATAGAATTCTGCCACAAGAGTTGGGGAAGGAGGGGGATTTTCATTTTCTACAGGGCTCCTTTGCCAAAGGGTCAGATTTATGCATTTATCTGAGCAGCAGCTAGGAGAACTCTACTCTTGGGTAGAAAAATATGGACAGATTGTTTCAAACACGTGCTCTAAGCTTGGAGCAAAGTTTAAAACGCCCTTTCTCACTTCACTTCCTTCCTAGTTGGAGGAAAGGGGACATATCCTAGCTGAATGAATCTAACTCTGTGATCTTAACCCCTTCATGCACTAACTAGCACTCATGCATCATTATGTTTGACTGCAATTTCCCACAATGAGAGCAGTGAAGACAAAGGAACAATCTCCCTAACAAAACAAATGGATGTGCCAACGGTGAAAGCATCACACCCCATATTCTGTGTACCCCCTATTTCCCCCAGGAAAGTAGCTACGGGGTAAGTACGTTGTTTCTTTAAGATTTGCTGAGTATACATAATTGATAGAGTGACTGGGGCAACCCAGATAGATGGGCGGGGTAATAATAATAATAATAAGAAGAAGAAGAAGAAGAAATGTCTTAGCTGAGATTGGCTCAGTTATCTGGCAAAGGAGTAGAAGCATACTTTTTAGTGATAGCTCCCCAGAGCACAGCACATGTTAGCTTTATAAGTTAATAAATATTACTACTTTTCTAAAAAATAGTTAATTCTGGTTTAGGAAAACAACACCGTACTAATTTAAATGCATATTTGCCATTCCGAACTTGTACAAAGCAAATACTTCTTTGCATTTGACTATCTGGTAACTTAATACAAGATGTAAAGTAAGAAGCAGCCCTTAATCCCTCCACAAGTCCAGGGGTAGTTTTAATTGTACAGTTGCTATGAAACCACTCTTACAAGTTTCTATGAAAGTGGGCTTGACATGTCATTGATTTGACCCTCTAGCAAAACTCTGATGAAACATTTCCTCTTGCTTTGGAGCCTTCTGAGACCAGGTATTTGGCAGGCTTAGTGAAATTTTCATTCTAATTTCCTGCCTGTGGGAAGTCCTTTAGTCTGACCCCACATGGGAAAATGAGAGAAATGCTGTTTTCCTCTGTCACCACCTCAAGCTCAGGAAGTGGAGACCCAGCAATGCAATATCAAGAGAGTGGGTCTCTTGCCACTACTAGGTCTTAGCAGTTTGCTGGACTAGTAGGGTTAAAACTTGACAACAAGCTTCCTGGGCTGCAAAAGTACAACATTCAAGCTCAGGCTCAAACCTTGCAAACAGTTGTTGCACACCTAATTTCTCCTGTGAGTTAATTTGTTGATTAATATGTGATGCATCCTTGGTTTCACTATTACATGATTGGATCCCCTCATCTAATTGTGACTTGAAGCTATTTTTATTGATAATAGCTTAGTCATTATTTATTGCAATTGTTAAGAGTGAATTTCTGTTTAATTATTATTTGCTGCTGTCTTGAGAGTTAATTGCATTGTGTATATTAGAATAGATTATTGAATATTACTTTATTTGATATAAGATGATTATTTTAAAGTTATGTTTTATTATGATGCTTTGTATTGGATCAGATTATTATAAGGTGTATGTTTTTGTTGTTGTTGCTGCTGCTGTAAACTGCCTTGTGCATAGAAATATAGAAAGGCGGTATACAAATTAAAAGTGGAATACAGAAGTCTCTTACCCCTCCACCCCAATTTGGCTTTTGACTTGCAATTATATGCACTGAATGACCCATGCCTTTCTCCCAGGTGAGTCTACCTCACAGGGTTGTTGTGAGGATAAAATGGGGAGGATGAGAACCATGCATGCCACGTTGAGTTCCTTGGAGAAAAGATGGGACGAACATATTGTAAATAGTTTTTTAAAGAAATTGCTGCCTTGTCATATTAAACACCTTTGTGTTTAGAAACTTCTTGAGTTTCAGAGTCTAGTTTCAGAGTTTGGGATGGATATTGGAACAACATACATATTGTGCAAAGTGTTGATGAAACTGGGGTCCTACATTATTTAGAGATGGTCAAATGTGCAGCACAACAGAGAGGGGTCCAAAGTGGGACAGCTAATGGCAGTCTTAGAGTACACATCTAAGCTTTTAGTGGGCCAGCCCTACCATTAGGCTGAGTGAGATGCAACCTCAGGCAGATTTGAGGTGTCATGAAAGCACAGAAGATCATTATTTAATTTATTCTTGCATTCTTAGTGCCATGGATTGGGAGGAGGGACTTTTGCCTCAGGGGTGTTCTGCCTCGGGTACCACAGGAACTTGCCAGCCTTGGGCTTTCTTCACATTGACATTGATGGGGTGGGGGCATTTGCTGCTTTGCCTCAGGCAGCAAAATGTCTTGCACCAGCCTTGAGCATGCTTGGGTGCTATGCTGGGCTCTAACAAGCAGCTGGGGAGAGATGTGCAGGGAGATGGAGGACAGCAGCGATGTTTTTTAAAAGCTTTTATAGTTTTGTACTAGTTTCTAAAGTAATTCTGGGAGCCGAGGGCACAGAGGACCCTGTCACTCAGCACTTCAGAAGGTAGCTGCATAGCAGGATTTTTCCATTAGCCTAATCAAATTACAAACTCAAGTTCCCACATTTCATGCAGGCAAGGTCCCTGCTTCCGGGTGGCTTCAATGGAGCTGTGCTATTCAGCACCCATTAATAGCACACAGGTACTCTTTACAGAAATCAGAAACCTCTAATAAGGTGCCTTTTGGGCCAAGTTTCTTACAGGCATCGTTCCAAAGTTTCTCACAGCATCATATTAACAAGCTCCCCGAAGACTCTGCAAGCTTCTCAGAAATGCCAAGTGCATTTAACCAAAGACCTTATGGAACAGGTGCCTGCTACCAGTACCAGATTTTAGTATCTATCCCTATACCAGTGACCCACCTCTACAGAAGATGGAACCCATCCTAAATTGGGGTGTTGCCATAGGATGGGTTAAACCAGAAGTGGGCAATAGGTACATTTCAAGCTAGTGGTGGATCTGTGGGTTAGCTCAGTTCTGATACTGAAAGTGGAAACAAATTCATGGTCTGAGCCATGTGCTCAGAGCACCCTGTTCCTTAATGATCAGAATTAATTATCTTAATTCCACCACCATACATCTCTGTTTTGCATTCAACTCCAGCTGGTGAACCTTGAAGCTGCAGGAAAAGAATAAAGTCGATCCCAGAAGCCTGCCTGCCTATCCCTGGGTTGAACTGCCAACATCTTTGAAGGAGCTTCATGATGGAGGTTTGTCGGATTGTTGGGCGTATTAATCTAGTGTTCCCAATACCCACCAGCCAAGCAGACTAGCAAGACCCATGGCTTCGGCAATAGTCCAAAGGAGTGTTTGTCACAACAAATTCCTGCACCTCTTTTTCATCTTTTCCAGTGAAATTGCCCTAACATAAAACCAGCTGGGGGAGACTGCAAGGAAGCGTTAACCGAACTCTCTGCCCAACAAGCAGATCAAACACCACAATCCCTATTTTATGAAGGATGATGTCCCTCAAGGCCACAACAGAGATTGCTTATCTTTCATATCCAGAAGATTAAAAAAAACCAAAAACCAGAAGCATATTATAATTATTAAAGATTATTGCACTATTAACAATTAAAACTATTTTCTGCTTTGGCACTCACAGATATTGAAAAGGAACCTCTGTATGGTCTGCATAGCACACTGATGGCCACTGGGGGCTGCTGTTTCTCTAGCGAAACAAACACCAAAGGCAAGGCCGCACTAAGGCCCAGAGAGACTGATGCAGTAGGAATGGAGAGTTGGAAATATTGTACTCATTTTAAAAAATTACCTTAAGGTCCAGAAAGTAATTATTTCCTCATCCCTAATTACCCCAGTTGCAGATAATCATTGATGTTCAACGCACATTCTTCTACGATTCTTGAAAAATTATGCAACTTGCTGTTTTTGACACAATCTGTTGAGTTTTCTTTAAGCAACTGCACATTTGTGGGGGTGGAATGGGCCTCACAGTCCCACAAAATAGCTGAATTGCTGTGTCTTCATTATGACAGTAGCATGCTTACAAACATTCAATTCTTTTCAACACAAGTCACCGCTAAGTGCATTGGCCAAATCTCTGGCAATTCTCCAACGTTTGTCCAGATTGCAATTGCCTCCAATCTTTTCTGATCAAGTTTTTTTTCAGAGATATGGTGAGCTGGGATCAGGAGATGAAATGGAATACTCAGAAATTCAACACAACCAGATCACTGAAAATGGCAGCTATCCCTCACTGAAGAATTATTATGTGAACTGATTCTCTCTAAAGTGCTTTCCCGATCATTAGTCTACAACCTAAGAAATGAAGAAATGCTCATTTGTTGTGCACTATCAAAATATCTTCCTCCAAGGTTTTGTTTCTGTTTTGGCCCCAGATCCGTCCAAGGGACTTTCTCACCAGATGAAACAGGGGCAGCAATTTTCACAGATTCCTCCTTCTCCCTGTTGCCCCACAAAATTCTGCTTCAGAGGGTTCTGGGGTTGAGATTCACCCAACAAGTCATTGTGCAAGGGATTCCTCTTGTGCAGTGGGAGTCCCTCCCCACCCTCCTCCCTCTCGCACCTCTCCTGAAATTGACTCGGGGAGAAGAACTCCCAAAACAGTGGGGGAGGGGGGAGAGGAGAGGGGGAGGGGTGTTCTGTCTGCCAAGCTGTAATGTTTGTGCTGACTTTGATCCAACTTGTGGAATTAATAACAAATAGGCTGTAAATCACCCATTCAATAAATCTTTAAAACGCTCCAGTACCAGTTTCTGTTCCTGCAAGGGAGGCTTTAAAACTGATTCACTATGAATCCTTCAGCTGGGATAGCAGCAAAACAAGCTATACCTGCAAACATGTTTTTGGTGTTTTTTTAAACAACGGCACAGGAAGGCTGAAAAAATTCAAGAGTGCTTTGCCTACACATCCCAAACAGGCTGATACTTCACTTAATTTTATTTTTTTTAATGCAACAAATCCAACCTAATCCCCACCCCTCACCTTCACATGAAAACAAAAGAGAAATGCTGGACTGAAACAATTTGACAACACCATTTTGCCTGCTTGCTCCAGAAAAACCTGACAGGATAGAAGGAGAGAAGAAAAAAGCAACTGGGCTGGTATATGATTTTGAGTGGAATAACTTGACATAAAGTTGACATAAAGTATGGTTCCAGGAATGGAAAGACAGGCGGATAAGCCAAAGCTTCCAGCAATATTTTGTTGGAAGAGGGATATACAGTATGTAGTAAAGGTAAAGGTAAGGGGACCCCTGACCATTAGGTCCAGTCGTGACCGACTCTGGGGTTGCGTCGCTCATCTCACTTTATTGGCCGAGGGAGCCGGTGTACAGCTTCCAGGTCATGTGGCCAGCATGACTAAGCTGCTTCTGGCGAACCAGAGCAGCACACAGAAATGCCGTTTACCTTCCCGCCAGAGCGGTACCTATTTATCTACTTGCACTTTGACATGCTTTCAAACTGCTAGGTGGGCAGGAGCAGGGACCGAGCCACAGGAGCTCACCCCGTCGCGGGGATTCAAACTGCCGACCTTCTGATCAGCAAGCTCTAGGCTCTGTGGTTTAACCAACAGCGCCACCCGTTCAGCTAATATTTGAAGTGTAGTGCAATAGCCTAATAGAGAGTCCCTAGGGTCAATTGCACTGTTGGCAATGAGCTGTATTAGCTCCCCCCAGAAGAAGAAGAAAAAAAAAACACTACTTCAATAGCCACTTTAGAAATGGCTATATTTTACACCACCCAAGTACTCAAAGCGTCCAGAGTGAGGGCGAGGCAAGGGGTAAGGGCGAAAAAATCTGCACACTTTCGTGCTAGGGTGCAAGAAGGATGGGAAGCTTTTTCCGTGTTCGATCTCACTGTGACAACAGAAGCATTCTGATTTTTTGCACTCCCCCTGGGCCCGTGTCCCTGGCGAAGGGAGGCTTCGCCAACCCCCAGGTATGCTTCTGCTAATAGTGCGGAGACTGAAAAGGCAAGCTGACAGGAAGCTATAGTTCTGGAAGTGGCTTTCATGTCACGTGAAAGCTCAAATGCAATGTGGAAATGAGCACTTCGCAAAATGTCATGAAAATGGAACAAACTGCAGTGTGGATGCAGCCGGCGTGAATCTGCTCCACCCCTCCCCCTTATTTTCTCCCCATCCAACAGAATAAGGATAGGTGATGTGAAGGTGCCTGCCACAGGCTACTTTCCGCCCCCATTCTCAGCAAGCGATGACTTACCCTGTAATCGCTAGAGGTGACGTAGAAGATAGGCAGGAAGGCCAGCCAGATGATGCACGTGGTATACATGGTGAACCCAATGAACTTGGCCTCGTTGAAATTCTCAGGGCATTTCCTGGTCTTGAAGGCATAGACTGTACACAAGACTATCAAGAGCACATTGTAGGTGAGTGAAATGAGCATACTGGAGTCTTGGTTGTTGCACTTGAGTGTGACAATGTACCTTTTGTCGGGCTCCGTCTCCTTCCGAGTGCCGGGAGTCTCCACCAGGAGCCAGATGACGACAATAATGAGCTGGCAAGAAATCAGAGCCATGCAGATGACCACTTGGGAGGTGGGGCTGATGAACCTTGGGCGCTGCACGCCCTCCTTCACCCCGCTGAAGATCCGAGCGATGCGGTTGGTCTTGGTCAAGAGGGCCGAGTAGCAGACGGCGAAGGAGGTCCCCAGCCCCAGCCGCCGCAAGGTGCAGACCGCCGTAGAGGGCTTGGCGATGAAGATGAACGTCATGCTGTAGCACATCAGAACCCCGGTGAGCAGGATGTAGCACAGTTCGCGTCCGGAGGCCTTGATGATGGGAGTGTCATTGTTCTTCACGAAGACGCCAAAAACAAACAAGGTGGAGATGAAGCCGAGGCAGGAAATGGTGACTGGTCCAATAGCCCAGACGTCCTTCCAGCGAATGTACTCTTGGGGTAGCTCATAGCATGCGTTCAGCATCGCGTTGGGCCAGTAGCCAAGTCCACAATCGCTGCAAGTGAACTCATCCAGCAGATATTCGTAAGGCTGGCAGGGAATGCATATCCAACAGCACATGTCTCCTGGCTGCATGCTCTTCATTTCATTCTTCTTGCAGGGATCGCTGCACTGGGAAACAGGGATGGAGGTCTTCACCCAGGGGATGAGGCTTGTGTTCAGGATGAGTCCTTCTGCCCAAAAGCCCACTTTCTGATAGCGATACCTCCCGTTGGCTCTGTGGTAGTTGAATATATTGTAGCGGCCAATCCCATCCCCACAGTGGTCAAATCGAACTGTGCTTTTGGTGTCTAATGATGGTCGAAAGGGAGCTGCGAAGCAGAAGAGCAAAGACTCATTTAAATGATGGAAAAGCTAAATGATTAGAAAATCAAATGTCCACATATAATTGAATCGAGCGCCACACGTACCTGTCACTCTCCTTTCCAGGGCATGTCTACAGAGGATTAACTACAAAGTGTTATCATACTTTGAAATAAATCTACTTCTGACTAATGGGATTGACAGAAAAATGTTTCACTAAGAAGAGGGGAAAAACACATTTGTGCAGAAAATCCTATTTCACTAGAATGCAATGTATAGAAACCCATTTTTGGTTATTTTTAATTACAAAAATCAAAATGGATATTCAGGACAACATGTTAGAAATGAACCAAAGCATAATAGGGTGCTTTGTCCCTTTTGACCTTACAGTTTCAGTTGCAAGTGCCATAATCATGTGTTTGAGCATGCTAAATGTGCTGTTCTGTTCTGCTGTTTTTCTTTTCATTTTTGTTATTTCAACCCATAATTTCATGTTCCCAGGCATTGTGATGTTACAGACGTGTGTCTGTTGCCCCTACTGTACTTGTTTGTATAGGCTCAGCATACCTGTGGGTGGAATAGCCCTAAGGACCAATCTAGACGTGACAGTACAGTGGTACCTTGGTTTAAGAACAGCTTAGTTTATGAACAACTTGGATTAAGAACACTGCAGACCCGGAAGTAGGTGTTTTGGTTTGTGAACTTTGCCTTGGAAGCAGAACATGTTCCGCTTCCTGTTGAATGTGTAAATTGAGTCCCCCGCTGCTATGGGAAAGCACACCTTGGTTTAAGAACGCTTTGGTTTAAGAACGGACTTCCGGAACGGATTAAGTTCGTAAACCAAGATACCACTGTAGTCACATAACTGGCTTCATGTGCTTGTTTTTCCTTTATTAAACAGCAGCCACAAGCCCCCTGATCTAGACAAGGGCCTCAGAGGAGCCACAGTGTTAAAGCCTCCCTCCACCAACCTTGCAATCTCAGTCTAGATTAGGTCTCTTCAGGGCTGCTCTTTAGAGAGAGAAAACAGGCAAGAAATGGCTAGTTAGATGATTAACACCGTGTCTAAGGAAGATGCAATGTTGTGAGGACTTTCCTCATTTCCTCCTCCTCCTTATCAGGTTGTGTGCTATAAGGCCACTGTGAGTGCTTGCTGGTCAAGAGATGGAGCAGAAATGGAGAAAGGCAACTTTCAGGCTAAGCTTTGTTCCCTTCTCAACAGCAGATCAGAGTTGCATGCAGACCCAGAGCCGGCAATATTAGAAGGAATTTGATATCAAGCTAAAGCAAGCATTCTGCCAGGGCAAGCATTTTGGCTGGCCAAACGGAGCAACCCCACATCTCCTCCCTCCCATTGTGCTGTATGTGCCCATACAGAAAAGCGCATATTCCCCCCATATAATATGAGAAATTGCCATGAGGCCTCACTGGCCACCTTAGGCTGAAGCAGCACCCTTCTTCTCCCATCACACCCCAAGCCTTTATTTTCCCACACCCCAAAGCACAACCTCGGCTTACCATCAAATGTCACATTCAGCATGAATTCCTTGTAGAACCTCTTGCCGTTCACAGGCTTCATGGGGTCGCAGAGCTTGGTGGCGTTGGGGCAGAGCGCTTGGTACATGTTGTGCAGGGCGTGCGCCATTGCGTAGACCGCATTGATTACAAACATGATCTTGGATTCCTGCTCAAACTTGCCTGTCTTCAGGGAGAAGCGGCTACAGTTCTGGCTGTGGAAGCTGCACTGGAACTTGTGTTCCCAGAACTCCCGGAACCAAGGGTTTCGGCTGTTGTTGTAGGGGTCAAGATTCCGGAAGTACACTGCGAATTCCTGCACCGGGTAGGAAGCCAATTCAATGGTGATAGCTCCCTCAGCTATTGGCTCACTGCCAGCCACCACACTCTCGAGAGCACCCCAGCCATCACTGGCCACCCACGTGAAGGACACGTTGATCCTCTGAGCGGCTGCCAAGAGCTCTCGGGCATCTTCGCTCCGGGTGAAGAGCACAACCACCCTTGCGCTGGGCTTCTGCAGCAGGGCCTTGATCACCCCGTCAAAGGTCTTCTTGTTCATGGAACGGCCCACTTTCTCAGAGGTGGCGATGCAGATGTTGCGAGCCCGGGCTTGTTGCTCAAAGGCTTCGATGCCTGTTTCTCCATAGTCGCCTTCTGAGGCCACCGTGGAGACGTAGGTCCAGTTGAAGAAACGCAGGATCTCGGACATAGCCTTTGCCTGGTAGAAGTCTGGTGGGACAGTGCGGGCGAAGTAATCGTAGCGAGTCTTGTCGCTGAGCTTGGCACTGGTGGAGGCATAGCTGATCTGGGGGATCTGGAATAGTCGCAGCAGGTTAGCCACCTGAAGGGAAAGAGAGGAAGGAAGGAAGGAAGGAAGGAAGGAAGGAAGGAAGGAAGGAAGGAAGGAAGGAAGGAACGTGATGAGCAACACATAAGCGGCAACAGGAGAAATAGCACAGTTATGAAGCAGCAGTGACGATGAAGAATACTCTACCTGCTCTGTAGAGGAAAATGTGATAATTTAAACATAATGCCCCAGAAGACTCTCCTGTTGACATTTGAAAGAGGAGGCAGTTCATAAACCTCATGTTTCCCAGAGCCTAATTTGAGCAACTCTACCCTGAAAATTCAGTTTAGAAATCAGACCAAACCATGGTTAAGGAAGTTTAACTATGGTTTAGTTTGTAGTCTGAACTGACAAAACAAGCATTTGCAGTCAACCAACAAACCAGAAACCACTGCTTGAAGTGGGTTTTCAAACTATGGTTTCTGCTGGCAGTGGTTTGGCATGACATCTGACTTGACATGCCATAGCTATAGATATCCTTCTGCCTTCAGATGCTGCTTCACCATGTGAAGGAAATGAGCAACATGCATTTAAGAAGCTGAGTCCAGAGAGGATGGAAAATGAAAACGCACAAGAAGCTCTGAATTAAAGCATGGTTTGCCTTCTATATGATTCTCAAACTGTGGTTCAAATTCTAAACAGTAGTCAATGCAAACCATGGTTTGGTGTTTAGAACAAAATTGATCATTGTCTGTCAGTATATCTGGTTTAATGAGATGAGGAAGAGAATGTAAGAACTGCAAGGCACAGGTACCCAGATGGCATTGCATAAGCTGGCATCTGAACCTTCAGCAGGCAATGCATACACACTTCCTAACTTTTTGGTGTGAATATGAGGAAGAGCAAATTATTCTCTAAAAATCAGAGCTCACATTCCGAGTAAATGATATGCTCTGTACCACACCGAGATGTATCTGCACCAGTAGAGGGACATACTGATGGTCTAATATTTAAACCGGTGAAGGTTGGTCCATTAGGGCAATTGGGATGCTTCCCCACCAGCTTCAGCCTGCCCTCAGCCAGCCCTCACCTGCCTGCCTGCCTTCTTGCTTACATCCAGCCCAGAGCACTCCCTGTCAGCTTCCTTTTCTTCAGTCTCTGTGTTTCCCCTTGTAAAACTCAGAAGGAAGGCGAATAGGAACAGAACTAGAATTAGCTGGTTCTGCCTGCCATTGACTCTGGCTGGCTCCACCTACTTCCGGGCTCCCTGCCTCCCACTTCACCAGTCGCACCAGCCACCAAGGATTAAAACATTTGCTGTTGAAAGCATATCCTTAATACTGCAACCCATTTCTAAGGCATTAGGTTAACAGCGGTTAACATGGTTGACCTTATTTGCCTTGTCTGAGCTAATCATTTATGACACATCAATGCTACACTGATGTTTCTTTACTATGGATTTAAACTGTTTCGTATGCAGTGAAAATCTTTGCACAAACATCTACTGGATGTTGGAGCACACAAAGAATAAATGACACAGAGTGACACATGTTCGGTGGGTACCTTAAGTCTGAGCCACACAGAATAGGAGAAGTGTGATGTCGTGCGGTGTTGAAATGGCCTAAATCATCTTCCTGGACCATTGAAATTAACCCCTTGCTGAGATGAATAGGGCATTTAATGGGGACTTTCATTGTGAGCTTCTTGCAGCTTCTTACAGACAGATGTGAACTCATAAATACATGGATGGCATTTTGGACACATTTTCTCTGGAGCTGCAATAGCTAAAACCCTGGGGTTTAATCTCGATCAAATCAATAGGCATTTGCCACTGGCCTCAATGGGAGGTGGATTGCAAGTGGCAAGATAAGATGATGGTGAATTAGGTAGCAGCTTCATACAAAAATCTGATACATGTTTCCCACTATATGTTCTGACCTACATATGACTGACTGCATGGTTAGCCCTTTATAAGGAATTAGGCTAAATCACACCGAGCTACCACAGTAGAAAAATAAAGCAGGGTCTGTTATGTGTTGTACTCAATGAGCCACTCTTCCCATTAGTTTCAAGTTACAGACTCTTTATAATTGGAGACAGCAAAATAACAAGCCTCTCTAGATTGTCAGCATCTTGTTTTGGTTTGTAAAATCCTTCTTTCCTGGCATGTGGAAGAGGCATGGCATTGATTGTCACACACGCAGGAGCACTTCTAACCATGACTGCACATGCAGCCATAACAAATGTATGCATAAGGCATCCTATTGACAGCCTCCCAAGCTCTCTGCATGCATAATTGGTACAAATGTCCATCACATTTGCAGGATATTGCTCAAAGACAGTACTTTGCAACAAGATAACCGCTAATAGAAACCTGCCTCTTAATATGAGAGCTTGCTCAAGGATGACCAACTTGGAATGCCAATTCTGAAATCATTTTGAATTTTTACCATGGAAGTGTTGCAATTTAGGCTGTGGAGGGGCAGCCTGCCTCCCCTATATTCAGTACCACATATCTATCCGATTACTACGAAACAACCACATCAAGCACTCTCAAAATACACTACTTTTTCAATACATCCAGGAAGAGGCCTTTGAACGTTTCTGAGAATCTTATTCCTCTATCAGCATGTCCTTGCTCGCTCCACCCCCATGGAAACTGAAATGTTGCATCCGGTCTATTAAGCAGACTCAGAAATTAACACCCCCTCCCCAGACCATATGCAATGCATGCATATATATATATATATATATATATATATATAATGCAACTCAGTATAAGAAAGTAACATAGTATATGTGCATTTATAGAGTACCTAGGGGATATGGCCAAAGAAAAGGGGAAGCTTAGCAAAGAGTTGTTCAAACACCAAGTTATGAGCATATCTAAGGAGTCTGAAGTCTGAACAGAAAGGAAGGACGAGAATTGCCAGCTCTCAGAACATGATGTCTGGTCTACTCTTTTGCATTAGCAGCATATATATAAAGGCATCAGCGGGTGGGCCATTATCACCTACTAAAGTAGTATCTGTTGACCAAGCTCCTGTAAAAAGGACTATAAAAATATGGAAACCCTAGGAATAATTTTCCTGTAAATGTAAAGTAGTAGGTTTATTATTATTATTATTATTGATCAATACTCCAGCATTTATGCACATAACACAGAGCTATATATTCCAAAACAAGGAATTGCACCAAATCTAAATTACTTAACATGTCTCTTTAGTTATTTGAAATATTTTTTCTGCTTTTTGACCAAAAATGCCCAAGGCAGTTTGCAACAAATGTCTATCATCTATCTATCTATCTATCTATCTATCTATCTATCTATCTATCTATCATCTATCTATCTATCTATCTATCATCTATCTATCTATCTATCATCTATCATCTATCTATCTATCTATCTATCTATCTCTATATCTATCTATCTATCTATCTATCTATCTATCTATCTATATCTATCTATCATCTATCTATCTATATCATCTATCTATATGTCTGCCACCTTTCCTTGTCAAACTCCTGGGTCTTTCAGGGATGTGGCAGGCAGAAACTCAACAGATGATGCATGGAGCTTCAAAGAAATGGATATCTTCACCTATTGAGCTTGCAAACCCTGAGGATATTTCTTATATTTCCTTGATGACGTGATGCAAAGAAATCCAAAGCTGTTAGCTCTAACGCAGTAAAGGTTGCTGAAAACAAGCTGTTACGACCGAGGCTTGAGTCTCTCCAGAGCATTTGTGACCAACGGCTGGAATAGTTTACTCTCGGTCATTATTTTACACTGTCATTATTTCCCTTGTGGTCTGAAGCCGTTCTCCAAGCCGTTATGGAACTATATCTTACAGATTAATGGTGTGCTTTTATTCTTCAGAAACCACCGCCAAACAAACAAACAAACTCCTGCCTCACAGGAATGCTGTGCAGTGACACTTGTCCTTCTCCACTGCACTGACTAGAAGGGGAGGGGAGCGGCTTCTGGCTCTGCAAAAAACGACACAGTACGATGCGCTCACTGTGCAGCAAAGCAGAGCCGTAGGCCACTGCGCTGTCATGAAAGCAGTTGGAATTCAGGTCCTGCAAAACTTCTGGGAGAAGGAGAAGCTTCAAAGCTATGAGAGAGTGGCTTGGATTTTCAGGATCAAGCTTCTGCACCTTCTTTACTGTGTCCAAGATCTTCTCAATGACCTCAGCTGAAAGGTTGGCTGCCCCTGATTTAGAGAAGGCAAACACTCTGCTGTGAGTACCACGCAAACCACTTGGGCTATGTTGGCCAAAGGGGTCAAAAGCTAGTGGACAGCAGTTGAGCCGATACATTCTCCACAGAGAAGAGGCTCACCTACAAAATATGTCAAAGAGGACATTGAGTCCAGCAAGCTAGAAACCCCAATAATCATTGTGGCTGGTGATCCTGGGCACCAAAATAAATCCAGTACTGAGGACATGCTGTTGCCCCCCTCTTTAAAATACTTGTGGATACAGATTACATCTATTTTTTTCTTTTTCAACACATTCGCAATTTTATTCCTTTTAACTTTTTCGTTCAAACCATTTACATTCCAAGATACGATTTTAAGATTCCTTGTCATTTTTGCCTTCTGTATCCA